TAGGAACTATGTATTGTTCCCTAATGTTATTCACCTCCACTGGGAATGAAAACACGGTCTACATAGCGTCAATGTGACATTAAATGATAGATGAAATTAAATAAGTCGTTTAATTTCACCTTTCATTTAACCTATCATTTAAAGCCACATAAACTGCGCTTCCATCCCAACTGGGGATAATAACATTACTCATTGTAAAAAGGCACCATTTAGGGGATTGAGATTTTGGTTGTGATAAAAGGAGTGTTTCGAGGAGTAATATTTACTAGCTAAATTATTGCTTGTATTATTTAGTTAGACTTACATTTTTATTTTTACTATAATTTTATAGTAAATATAGGGAAAAAAATGTTAACAAGTAATATTTGAAATTTATTAAAATAATAGTTATGTAGTGTAATTTCTACAATAAAATAAAGTCTATTATCTACTTTCTTCTCTTTTTCTCTCTATTTTATAACAAATTGTTTTCTAATAAATAAAAAATAGTTAATTAATTAATTAAACGGAATGATAATTTTTTTTTTTAATCCCCGCCTCCTCTTGCCCCACCCCCAAACTCTCTCCTCATATTACTAATTCTATCCGAAATAAAGTTTCTATTCTTCTCATCGAGTTTTGCTACACAAACATAATGTATGACATTGGAAATGACACCACACACATATAGGGGAGGTCAGCATTATTTAATTCAGGTCGGGATCCACATGTAATGTGAGAAGTCGGTCAACCCCTAAGTCAAGCATTATGTTCATTTAGCTTAATTTCTTCTCACTTCTACGACTAGGCTCTTTAAATCCAATGTCACTATATTCCTCTCTTCGTAAACACAACCGGCAACGGATCATTCTCTTCCTCCGGCGCAAAACATGGTTTCTCTATATCTCTCGTCATTACATTCCAACCACCGTTGCTCTTCCACATATAATAGAGGAAATACAGACCCAAAAAATGAGTCGTCATCCCCACCCCCCATCCCTCCCCACGGCACAGACCCAGCCCCCTTTCCACAGCTCCCGGCCCATAATTTCTCCCCTCCAGTCCCACCCCTAATTGCCTACCATGTGATGAATTCTTTAGGGGGTTGTTTTTGAGCATTTAAGAGGCACCAGACCTTAAATCTTCTTCAATATCAGAAAAACCTTACATGAATTACTATAAATTTCGACAGTCAGATTTCAAGACAAGTGTGGATGATGCTTCTTGGAGCTTGGCAACTATCAATCGAAACAAGTAGATGGGAGAAAGGGTGGGAGTTTTGAGTAAGAATAAGAAATTCTAAGATCCATAAATGATGCAGGAATAGTCATTCGAAAATGTGCATTTTCCTTACCATACTCATCAACAATGAATAGAGAGTGCAAACTAAAATGTTGATTGAATAGACCATTTTAATTCAAGCACACTTCAATTTTATTTACTGGCATCGCATTGATAGGATATATGGTACTCAATCACAAAATAGCACGACATATTCAAACTTAAAAACTACATCAAAAACTCGTTCAAACCAACAATACTTTATTAAGAGCTATTCAAGTAGCTACTGATGACTGAGTTCGTACGCAATGCAGGATAAATTGCGACTAAAAGGAGAGTGCACACTACAAGGGATGATCAACCCTGAAGGCCAATGATACCTGCACAAGATTCCCAAAAGTTCATGTAATCAGGGAGTCAGGGTAGTTAATTCAATGTTCACGTTATTCAGACATTAAATAAAGATGAAGCCAGCATTGCCAATATCTCAGCATGGAGCAAATCGTTCAGTTTTCAGGCATTTGCTAAGAGCAATGTAGATACTTCTTAAAACAAGTTTTGAAATAAAACCGCCAAATGTACGTTAACTCATTAAAAAAATTCAAACTAATTTTTCGCTAAAAAAAAAATGTTGCTTAAAAGTAGCTCTTAAGCTTCAACCACACATTTAGACAATAAAATATTTTACACGTGTACTCAAAACTTTTCCCAACTTTTTAACCACACATTCTCCCAAAAATCACTAATCAAAACATCATTTTTTGGAAATAATAGCCATCAAACAAGGGCTAAAAATAACGCCATGAATGCCAATATTTTATGCCACATAGTAGTTCATTAAATTAAGTAGATCGAAACTCGCAACACATTCATTTGTTTATGGGTGAGAGGCAAAGCAGGAGAAGTCCTGAAAATCCTTGCGTCAGTGGTTCGAATAAAATCGAATTTATTCACATGTTTGCATGCAAATCTTTTTTCTCTGCTTCACTTGTGATTGCCTTCGCAGTAATTGATGTTCAGTGGCAAAAATAGATAAATAAATGTTTCTTACCACAAGCAACTCTTCCACCGGCATTTCCAGTGCTCTTGCTCAGTTCATGACCACCTGAAACAAGAGAGTAACTCGTAAACAACTACCAGAAAATTTGAAAACGTAAAAGAGTATTTTCAAACCAGGATAACATCAGAAGACACAATTGAGTACAAGAAACAGGGACATTTGGGGCCTTTTCAAAATGTGCTCCTAGACTCACCCAATCAACCAACCAGCCAAAGGATTTGAGAAACCAGAAGAAAAGATTTTTCCTTCAGTTTCAGGACGAAAAGCTTGTATGTTACTAGTTAAGAGATTAATTTACTCTAGAAATTTTGTCTGAGTTTTTCCAGTAAATTCAACTATAATGTAGGGAAATGACTAGGAACTAATCACCATGATAGACGTGCATAATAACAGGAATCAGTTTTTGCACTCTTCCAACTCCCCCTCCCCATGCATGCAAGAGAGAGAGAGAGAGACGACCGTTCCATTCTCTTCTCGACAGCAAAGCATAAAAAATTCAGTAATTAAAATATAGAAGATACCCACCCTTTCCAAGATCATCAGGATCTGCATGGACAACTACTGCTCTTCCAATTATGGAATGTGGTCCTGTAAGAGGTATCTGAAAGCCGAGACAAACATTTAAGATAATAGTCCAAGAAAACTACATATTATAAGCTGAAACACTAATGAAGAATCATTCACCTGCTTGTCAACGATGTTGATAGCAGCAGTGCCTGAACATTAAAATTATGGAAAAAGGAGAAGTCACGAAGCATGTAAGTATTTTGTAATGCATATAGCATAGCGCCCGCAACCTTTTTGTTTATTTACATTAAACTGAACCCTTGGGGATTAAAATTATAATGCTCAAATCTCTAACCAACAATATGCGATGACCTCTTATTTTCCTCAACTAAAAATAATTTTTGCAATACTACAAAACGTTAATAGCGGTCATCCATTATCTATGTACACCAGAGGGGAAGAATGAACAATGATGAACACAACAGCATGACTACCTTTGATAGAAGAAACTAAGAGCATGATTGGCTAAGCTTAAAACATTCATTAATCATGTCATTTTAAATTATTGTCGAAATTAGAAATAGGTTGCTTATTTTATGAGTAAGGCAAAAGTTACTCCTAAAATAACGGAGTTTTTGTACTCACGAGTTACAAGTAAGAAAAACATAAAATAACAAAAAATGTTTGGAAGCAGAAGTTTGCTTACAAGTTTACGATTGAAGGAACTATATTCTTTAGTTTATGATTGACGTCTCTACAAAACTTGATAATAATAGTGCGCAAAATTTTCTAGAAAAAAAAGCAAAGGAAAGTACCATCTTCGCCAACTGTGATATTACCAAGATCACCAGCATGACGGTTATCATCTCCAGGTGCACCATGCTCTTTCCCAACAGGATTGAAATGAGGTCCTGCATATGAAATCACTGGAATATGAGAGAGCAATTCCAATGGCTAGAATTGGTACAACTGTACCAATGGAGTCTACTAGTTGTTAACTGATACAACAAACATGAACAGACAACACAGGAAACTTACCAGTTGACATACAACCATTGGTGGTGTCACCAAGGGCATGGACGTGAAAGCCATGAAGTCCAGGCTTAAGGCCAGAAAGGTTTCCAGTAACAGTAGTTGGACCTGAAGAATTAAAAACGAATTAAAAAGAGCGTAATCAACAGGCTAAATTGATAATAAAAGCTTATACAGCTTGTGATTTAAGAGAATGTTCGGTACATAGTACTCAACATTATTGCATTGTGTCATAAACAAGATCTTAACTTATTTATATCCCTAATCTTGTCTAGTATTGTCCAATCCAAAATAACAAGCATGCCATAAAGGAAATGAAAATTACCATCTCCTTCCTGGGTGAAGTAGACGGTGCCAGTGACACCCTCGCTGCTGTTGAGGACTGCGACGGCCTTCACCATGATTATTGTGATCTACAAAAATTATAACGACACAATTTATCAATCATGCGTAGAAAAAAAAATTTGAAGCAAGTACCTGATAAAATATGGTTAGAACAAAGACGCATAAGGATAAATAAGAGAGCAAACAATAGGTAATATGAATAGTTGTACCTGTTTAACACCAAAACAAATTACCTTAGAAAGACTTGAATATCCGTTTTCCAAATGCAAAAGGCTATTACTACTAACATCAATCCAATTTTTCAATCCCCAAAGATTCACTACCACTATGAATATCTTGTCAAATAGTTTTCTTATCAAAAACACCACTCTTTGATATCACTCTTATTT